GTGGTCATAATGCCTTTGTCGAACACCTAATGACACAGGCTACATGAGATCAGGCCAGTGAGCACCAATGGAAAACACTTGAAAAGTGTTGCAGCACTTTTTCAGTGAATGTGTGAAATGTGCAGAAATGCTATTTGATATAAATTATGAGGGTATCTTTGCTGTTCCGAGGATTGCGCTCTTCTGGACAGATTTTGGATGTTGTTGATCTGCTAGAGCCACTCACCCAGCTTGGGGGTCACTGCACCGAGTGCTCCGATTACAGGATATCTCTAAAAATAGTAGTAGTAGTGGTAATACACAGAGTACACTGTGGCGGGGTGTGGTTTATGGTGTCGGAGGAGGCTGACTCACACACCTGATCTCATCGTTTAATCATGTCTCCCCTCTAAAAGATGTTTTTGCTGGACCTGAGGTGAAGGGTGTGTGTGGCGTGTGCTACAGAAGCAGGGCAGCTGGGAAGCTGCACAGCCAATAAAGACGTGCAAAACTGCAATGCTGCTGTTGTCGAATTCGTTATTGTCACATACACACAAACACAGAAACCAAAGGAAAAAGAAATCCTGCAATAAAGCTTCAGTAAACATCCCTGTATGTCTGATTCACCTACTTCATCCCTCTGCGTGACATTTCTTCTTTAGCTTAAATACACCAGCCTTACGTGGATCAGTGTTAATCCATATAGGAGTGTTGTCTTCCCACGTTAACGCATCAAACTGTGCCATCACAAGACCCATAGCATATGTCTGATAAAGTGGTGCAGTCAGTCCTAATGACAAGTTCACATGTGCCACAGTCAGCTGTCAAAAGGCTTCTCCAAACATTTCTATTTATCATGTACATGACACTTCCCCCACTAGTAATGTATTCTACCCCCTGCTGCTCTGTTTATGCAGTGTTCGCATTCATGGTGATTTCAGATCGCTGCTTTCTGGGTGTCTATCACAGGGGACAAAGAACAGCTAAACTGGATTGTTACTCTCTGCATCAATTTTCTCCTGACGTTATCATTTCAGCACTGCTCGTCTCTTTCATATTCCCGTTCCCTCTCCCCCTCGTGGTTTCATTTCCTCTCCGTCATCCCTCAAACACATCTCTTTTCTTTGCCTTTTACGTGTCCTGACCTCTTAAAATTTCCCAGCATCTATGTCTGCTGCCACCACAGTGTGTGTGTGGGGGGAGGGGAATTGGAGGGCTGTTCATACACACACACACACACACACACACACACACACACACACACACACACACACCTGCTGTGGCTGTGTAATATTTAATCCAGTACAGTTCCACTGATGCTCACTGCTGGCACTTTATCTCTATACATGGCTTGTTACACTGTTGACTAAGCAAAGAAAAAAAAGACAAAATAAAAAAAAACGGAGGCACTAACATCATGCCAGTGCACTTGAAAGTCAAAGAACAAAGAATTGAGGTACTGTTGAAAGGTCTGTCAGTGGAAGAAATAAGGGTGTGGGTGCAAGACGAGGGGAAAAGGCCTCTGAGGTAAAAACATCTGATTGAAGGTGAGACTTGAAACACAACAGTCAGGGTGGAAAAGACAAAGCATAGCAGAAAAAAAGCAAGAAACGCAGAAGGAGAAGGCTTTTTTTTTGGGTGAGGAGTCGACTGGAGGCGAAAGCTGTGATCCTATTTCTCTCTCTTCATGACACACTTCATGAGTTGCCAAATTAGACGTGGAAGTTATGAAAAAGCACTTGAACAGGCAATTATTTTCCCCTCATGAAAATCCCTGTGTTAGTGTCGGCTTATTAGGAGATGAATGTGCCTGGCATTTAGCTTGTTGTGTGTTGCTCAAATGAATGGAGAGAGCTTTGGAGGGACTTTATTAGTCTCTGACACGCAAAACGCACTCACATGCTGCTTCAGAGATTAAAGGGTGTGAGAAAACTGAAAACCCATAAGCACCTGAACGTACCCATTGTCTTCTAAATAAATGTATATACTCCTCATTTGTTTTCCATTTTTAAGAAATCATAATTACTACCTGGATTAAATTTACTAATGGGCAAAACACCTGACACCACAATATAAGAACTACTTCCTGGTTATTAGATTTGTGCAAAGAAAACCCTTTGCTTATCCTCAACCCCAGATTGAAAAATGATCGTTAGGTTTAGGTTGTGCTTTAGCCACATGCTATTCAAATCAGTTCATTTCACTTTCATATATATATATAGCACCAAATGATAACAATAGTTGCCTCAAAGCCTTTTATTCTGGTATAACGGTAAAGACCGCACAATGATAGAGAGAAAACCTCAGTCAAATAACCCCCTTTGAGTAAGCACTTGGCGACAGTGGCAAGGATAAACATATTTTTAACAGGAAGAAACCTCTAGCAGAACCAGTCTGAAGCCGGAGTGGCTGTCTGTCATGACCAGTTAGGGGTGAGGGGAGTAAGACAAGACAAAAGACACACTGTGGAAGAGAGCCAGAGATTAAAAATAACTAATGATTAAATGCAGAGTGGTATATAAGGTAAACAGTTTAGTTTCAGAAACTAAAACTAAAACATCTTACCTTTAAAATCCAATGTCTCACTGGCATCTTGTTCTCAGAGTTCTGCTGTTATAAAATATTGCATTTGGGCAAATTAAAGATGTGCCAAGTCTGAATGAACGCAGTCACATAAATGTAAACCTAACCCTATCCCTATTTCTCCTATGTGTCCAGGCATGTAGGTGCAGAGGTCAAAACTGCTGACTGAGTTCAAATTCCTATTTTGCCTTGCATGTTAGGGAAATTGGTGAATGCAGATGTGAGAATCATCAGTAAGACATAACATAATAAATAAGTAGAAGTCAAATTCAAATTAAAAAGTATCTGAATAAATTGGAATGTACACGTTTACACCTTTTTGGAAATTGTCAACAGAGGTTCAGGGTTTATTTGTTTAAGGTACAAACCACATGTGTACAAATAGATACCCCCTTCAAGGGTACCAGAGCATGGCACCCCACCTTATATTGTAATGACCCACTGACAAGAAGTTGTACCTGTAAAGGTATAAAAACTTTGTAAACATTTCTTTAGCGTTTTGTCCATTTTTCTGCAAAAGGATCAACAACAACATGAAAAACTCCTTGCACAAACCATAAAGCATATATTTCTTTGGCAAATGTTAGCTTGACTAACATCATTAATCACTGCATTTGAACTGCTGTAGCCAACAGACTTTATTGAGGTTGCTGGTGGGTCTAAAATAACCAATCCAATGCTGAAATGTCCTAAAATGCAGTGGTTGAGGGTGATAAAGCCCATGCTTTGTGGTACACATATCTTGTAACTGAAAGTGGTATAGCTATGTTATATTCGTTCTTCAGCTATAGTGTGCACAGAAGTATTGAAAAACCTGGAAAATACTTAAATCAACCTGAAGATGCTTATGGTGAAACAAATACCTGCTTATTTAAAAAAAATGTCTATGGGGACCCATAATAAAGCTTACAGTAGTGTAATAGGCCCACTGGGAAGGTGTAGCATATTGAATAACGTGTTTTAGATCACAATTTTTTCAGTCTGGGCAAAAAGGGAAGACATTTTTCAGAAAATTGCTGAAAGCTCACAGAGGGCCTTTCTGCCTCTTAAAACTTGACATTTAGGAGAATCACTAAAAAAAAAGATGATTAGAGTCTTTGTTCAACTGATTTGTATGATGCGAACATGTTCCTTTATCACAGAACTTATGGGAAATCTTGCCATACACATACAGGTTATGTAATCACAACCCTCTATAGTCACATTATAAGCAGAATAATTCCCGGGTTGTGATGTCAGTGAGACAATTCACTTTTGGATTTCTGCCTGAAAAATAAATAGGTTCTGTACCCCCTTTTACTGCAATTTCCATTTCTAATCATTTTGTTCAGGAGAGCTTTTGCTGATTAATTTAATACGATGCAAACTAAGTATGTCAGACACTTTGAATCCAAGAATGAAATTAAGAAATCAACAGGGGTCTAAAAAAACCTCAGGAAATGTCATGCTGTAATAGCGGAGAAAATAAATGGGAACTGCATAATCATAAAAATGCAGGGCAATATTTCTGAAGTACACATACTATTTTGTGTACATTGTGTGTGTGTGTGTGTGTGTGTGTGTGTGTGTGTGTGTGTGTGTGTGTGTTTTCTGCATGAATTCCACAAAATGTGTTTTCATTTCTGGTTTCTTGTCGAGCGTACGTCGTAACGACATCAGCCGTTGGTAGGCGTAGGACCGGTTATCCGGGAGTTTGCGTCTGGGGGTTCGGAACGGGAGTGGTGCAACCCAGCTGTTTGTATTGTCCTTGAAGAAGCCTGCCATCTTTTTCAAAAAGATTACATCTTCAGCTGAATGAGCAAGGTGGTTGTCGTTGCTGGTGTGACAAAACACAGAGTCTCCCAAATTCTCAGCCGTGGGCTTTTGGTGTGAGAGAGCAGATGGCGGTTGACTGGAGATGGCTTTGGTTTGGCTCAGACTGAAGTCCTCCTTTACACTAAGGTGACTGTCGCAGGGAGTGAGATAGCTTGGGCGCCCATTGTCCAATACATAGGTTTTCAGAACATTCACTTTACTTGGCTTGTGGGCATTACCAAGACACACATCGCCAATGATAACCCAGCCCAGGTCAAGCTTCTGTGCAAATGGGTCATTATCTCTGCCATTGATTTGCTCCCTCACTTTGTGAACTCTCAGAAGGTTGCGTCCTATCAGCAACAGAATGTCTGCACTTGGGTCGAGAGGTGGTATTTGAGCAGCTATTGCTTTCAGGTGCGGGTGGTGTAAAGCAGCTTCTGCAGTTGGCACCTCTTCCCTGTTGTTGGGGATGGCATTGCACTCAATGAGCGCGGGGAGAGGGAAACTCATTTTTCCATCTAATGACTCAACCATGTAGCCACATGCTCTTCTACCAGTCGTGTGTGTTACACCACTACAAGTTTTCAGCATGTATGGTTCAGGTGTGGTTTGTATGTTAAATATGTCAAAAAACTCTGTCTTTACAAGTGACTTGCATACATCCTTCTGGCGTTGTCTCGCTGACCCTTGGGATAGACTTGCACTAAGCAAACCTTAGAACAGGATCTCCCTGTGATTTTATTTCCACATACCTCTGTGCATGTGGCAGTAACATCCGGGTCTTGTGAATTTGCTTGCTCCCCGCCGTGCACTTCAGGAGATGAAGGAGGTCTGGGCATTTGCAGTGTTGGGGCAGGATGAAGAGCTGCCAGGTGTTTCTCACTATTGCACTCTTCACACTTAATCATGACTGTACAGTCTTTGGCTTGGTGGCCGGTGGAAGCAAGGCAGCGGTAACAAATGCTATTGTCTCTGAGGAACCTCTTCCTCTGCTCAAGCAGCATAGCTCTAAAGCCCCTGCATCTTTTGAGTGGGTGGGGTTTGTGATGTATGGGGCACTGTCTTTCAATGTCTTCGTCTGCCTTTTTTACCTTTGATCCCTCTGATGATATGTCCATCTTGTGCACTGTAACCGATGACCTTTGGTTGTGGTTACTTAACGGTTTTTCTTTTCTGTAGCTGGACATGTGGTTGGCATAGGAAAGAGTCGTGTTGAAAGGTGTGGTAAAGCTTGGATCATTCCTTGCTTTTGCTTGACGTTTCACAAATTCAACAAAGAATGAGAATGGTGGGAAGCTAACATTGTGGTCTTCTTTAAACTTTGACCCTACCATTGTCCACTTCTCTTGAAGATGGAAGGGCAACTTCTCCACAATTGGATGTACTCCCCTAGCTGTGTCGAGGTAACTTAAACCAGGCAAATAACCATCTAGCTTTGCAGCTTGGAGTTCACACAGCAGATCTGATAGGTCGCGAAGCTTGTGTGGTTCTTTACTGGAGAGCTTTGGAAAGTCTCGTATTCGGGCAAACAGGGAGTTTTCTATTGCTTCTGGTGAGCCGTAACATTCCTCTAGTCTCAACCATATCATGTTCAGACCGGCAGGTGGATGCTTTATGTTGACTGCTTTTAATCTCTTGGCGTGTTCAGAAGACTCTGGGCCTAGCCACTTAATGAGTAGGTTGATTTCTTCAGTGGCTGTTAGACCAAGGTCCCTAACAGTGCTCTGGAATGTGGCTTTCCAACTAAGGTAATTTTCTGGCTTGTCGTCAAATTTAGACAGCCCTCCAGTTATTAGCTGACTCTTGGCTAAGAATCTGGCGAGGTCGCTTGCTATGGTGTCTGCATTATTATTTGAGCTTAATCCGTGCTGCAGTTGTAATGCATCGTGGAGAGTCTGTGGACTTACATCTCTTTGTAGTCGTCTCTCTGCCCCATCTTGTGGCATGAATGAGTACTGCACTGGCTCTTGTTTGGGACAAAGAGGTGTGTACATTACTGGTTGTTTGGATTGTTCATTCTGATATTTACTGTCATCATGGTGAGATGTAATGTCTGGAACCAGGTCAGTGTGGCTGTGTTTATTTATGTATTCACTCACTTTTTGCTCTGGGGTTACTTGTAGGGGTGACAATGGCCACTCTTCCCCTGATTCAGCTTTGTCAAATTGAGCTGCTGCTGACTCCATTACCTCTGCTTTAGCCAAGGCTGCATCTGCTTCCTTTTGGAGGTTGATTACATCCAGAGTTGCTTCTAGACGGGCCTTTTCTACTTTAATGTTCATCTCCTTCTCAGCGTAAGCTAATCTGGCTTTTGCTGCTTGAGCTTCTGCTTGTGCCCGCGCTGCTGCCATACTGGCTCGGGTTGATGCTGACGACCTGCTTGAACATGCTGCAGATGATCTAACAGTCAGTTTTCCTGAAGACTTTGAGGACCTTCTTGAGCGAGTGGACCTTGCTTCCTCGTCGTTTTGACCTTCAGCCTCTGATTTCTCCATGTTAGAGTAGAACTGTCACTCGACGTCCCTCGCAGAGCGCTATGATTTCACTGTACTGTTGCACCCAATGTGACCCAGTGTCCTATATTGAGATTCACAGCCAGCTAAACTCTCTCTTGCATCACTTCCTCCAAGGAACAGGCACGTGTTGTATTTGGACAGGATTTAATGCAAAAAAGTGTGAAACTGAAATGATACAGAATACAGAAATGTCACATAAACATTAGCTTGGGTTGAACTTAAGTGGACATATAAAACACATCAAAAGTTTCCAAATCACTTCAATAATGTCATATACCCTCTCTTAAAGGTAAACACAATTAAGAAACTTACTCATATTGCCACTCAAAGGGATTTAACGGAGTGGATGGCTTTGGATCGGAGGAAAACACACCATGTCTTGCTTCACTCATGAGCAAACACTTCCTATCACACTTCTTTTAGTGACTAATTGGCTCAACATAGCAAACTGTGCAAACCTGCGCCCCCTATAGGCCTGGAGAAATAACATACAAACAGTTCCAGTACAGCTTTGTAAATAAATGGATTACATGGATTACATGGTTCCTGATTCATATTGTCGCGGGTCAGGACTGTTTAGGTTTTGTTTGACAGCTACTTTCTGTCGTTCCAGGCGGCAGCGTTATGGCTGCCATGGTTACAGGGCGACGCTCTCTCTCTCTGCGACTGTGTGTTTCCTGGGTGAGAGAGCGCCTTTTCTGTTGTTGTTGTGCTAAGCTAACAGGCAGAATGCTACAAGCATAGCTCTAAAGAATGTAGCATCATGTTCAGTGTAGTCCGTGCTGCTGGGAGAATGGACTGCCATACACGTTATGTGTCTGTGAGCGCTAGGAGGGAGAAAAAGGGGAGTGGAAAGGTACGAGCAGTCATCGAGCAAAAACGGGAGCTGGAAGCATGTAAATATAATAATAACCACTGCAGCCAAGAAGAGTGCCTGACGAGCCCAGTTGTAAGTAAGCTATTAAGACTCGACTGTACACTGTGTTCGTGTTTTCCTCCGAAAACAACAAGTTCCGTTGGAGCAGCCTTTCAACGCCTCTCTCTGTCTGTCGCAAGAAAAGTTGACCCACACAACAAAGTAGAGCTATTTTTCGGCTACCAGCCGACAGGGACCCCGCCGTATTATGCTGGGCTTACACTGTGCGATTTTTTCAGTCGCGCGATTCAGCTCCTGCTCAAACTGTACGATTGACTCGCAGGGGTTAGAAGTTCATAGGTCACGATGCAGGGTCTCACACTATACGGCCCGATGCTCTGATGCGACCTGAGTGCTCACACTGTGCGTCCATAAAAATGAAGGTTATAACAGAAATTCTGTCGCTCGCTCTCCCTCTCCGTCTTTCACTCACACAGACACACCACCACCATCAACTTTGCTAAATTGCTAATGAAAAACATTGGTCAGGCAGCTGTGATTGAGCAGCAGTGTCGATCCAACTATTTTCACGGTTGTTGTGGTCGTGATAATTTTGTGAGGCCACATCGAAAGGGCTCGGATGGTTCTACAGGTTGTGCCTCCATCGCTTGTGTCCAGATCACACGCTGCACTGCCGTGCTACGCCGTCTTTTTCGCTGACATTTGTGTTTGCGCGTGCGCAGTGTGGCAAACTGCGGTGACACCCTCACGACCAAGCGATTGATGATCGGGAGCTGGTCGTGAGGTGTCAATCGCTTCTCGTTACCCCACGTATACTACACGATGCACGACGCACGATGAAGGCCAAAATCGGGCCGATCGCCAAAACGATCGCACGACTCAAAAATCGGCTCAAAATGGGCCAAAAATCGCACAGTGTGAGCCCAGCATTAGTCAGAGGTCCCTTTACTACAGTTCGGAGTCGCGGACCTTCAGTAATAGTAATAAATCACACAGCAATAGTACATTCACGTTGTTGTAAAAAGCATGATAATATTGTAGCGGGTCAGGGCTGTTCGGGGTTCTGCTTGTACAGTTATGTTTTGTGTATGTTGCCATGGTGACGGGTGACGCCCTCTCGCTGCGACGGTGTGTCCTTCCGGGGTCAGAGGGCGCCCTATGTGTGTTGTGGTTGCCGCGCTGAGCAGTTAGCTAGTGGCAGTGTGTTCTTCTGCAAATGTAATAAACGGCTGTGCTCCCTGGCTAGCTCACGGGAAGCAAGACCAAACGATACCTCCGTCTCCTCCTTGTCTGAACTCGCCACAATATATTAAGTAATCCAAAGTATTCAGAATACGTTACTGTCATTGAGTAACGTAACGGAATACGTTACAGAATACATTTTGGGGCATGTATTCTGTATTCTGTAATGGAATACATTTTAAAAGTAACCTTCCCAACCACTCTAAACTAACCTGTGTCTCTGAGTGGGAGACCAGAGATCACATTAACATGTGTGTCTCTGTATTAACAAACATGCCATATTGGCTTAGTTTATTTTTCTTATCATTGTTGTGAGGAGACCATAAATAGCATTTGTATTTTCTGTTGTACAGTTCATTTGCTGTTATGGATAAAAAGTGTCTTTTTTTGTTTCAAAATAGCTGATAGACCGTGTCACATAAATGGAAGACGCTCTAACCACAATAGTGAGACCTCTCCCCCCATTAACTGCTTATCAGGCACAACTGATACACCTCTTCCATAAACAAAGAAAGGTGCACGAAACCCAAGCCAGAAAAACCAGTCACTAATTCTCTCTGTAGCACAGCGACAGGAGCTACTAGCCCCTGGAGGAACCCAAAAACACAATCGCCTGAACCACGCTCCTGAAGGATGTATCTTGTGTGTCTGATATATATAAACGACATAGCTCCAATAACCAACAAGGACAAAACCAACAGGATGCCACACAAGACATGTACACTCGGAACTGGTTTCACCTGGCATGACTCTCTCCATCATTTCAATCAGGTTAAATTAACCACAAACAACTTCAAATCAAGATAAACTAGGAGGACAACCAAACAAGCAACCAAACCTAGTAGAATTGCAGCTTATTGTTAAAATCAACTGAACACATCAAAACTACAAAATCGATATACTGTATACCACTAAAGTGTGTAAAATCATGCTGGCGACCGACTAACAAACAATAATAACCTGTATAGACTATTTATATGAAAAAACATTGCAGTACTTACTTCATTGAAATCATCTTTAGCCATATTAAACAAACCACATGCTTTGAAGGGGAAAAAACAACCTTTTATGATTTAGAACCAACCACTAGAGAAAATTTCATCTAAGATAACCGCCCCTGACCCTGCAAAAGCAGGACCCGCAATTCGGCCGAACACACACGTCACACCGCTGAAACTGAACGTCAGGTAAAAGTCTCAAATTCACCTGCAACCTCCAATACCCGCGTCAATATGCCCAACCAAAAGTTCTAGGTGAGCTAGTTTTCCTAGATCAGTCTGACTTTTACAAGCCCATTACACCATAAACTCGTAACTGCTAACTAGCTAGCATGACGGAAACCCAACAATATAACCCCAAGAATAACAAAGAAACCACCGGGCGAGATGCCTAATGCATAAATTAACTGCGATAGTATGAACACTATGAAGTCACACTTTCACTCTACACCGTACTAATTAGTGGTGTTGCCACAATGTCTTGCTATATGTGTCGCAAACCGCGTCTTGGCTGTTTGTGGAGGCAAAATACGTCCACACATGACTCTATTTACGCTCAGCCATTGTAATTACAATACTTCCGTATTGAGGGGAAAAGGAAACATGTTCGTCCCGTAACTTCAGCTACAATGGAAAAAGACACAAAGCTGTAGTTATTCTGTGTTTTGCTGCACAACTGCCTCTTCTTCTCTCATTCTCCCCCTCCCTCTCCTGTTTCTACTTCAATCATGAAACTGATCAAGTGATCAGCTGATCGGCTCTTGTTTGTTTATCGCCCACTTTGCTGCCGAAAGAGGAAACCAGCGGATGTCGCGCTAAACAACAGCAGCACGTTTAAGCTTGATCAGCTGTTGTTAAATTTATTTAATATTAATTTCTAGTATCAGCTGATGTTTGCTACCGCTGTACTGCCATATTGGATCTGTAAGGCTGAGTAACCAGAGAGTTCTGGATCATGGCTACATGAACGTACCTTTGTGCGTGGGAGGAGTTGAGTTGAGACAAATAACCCGGACCTTTTAGGTAGCTGAGTGACGAGGCATTGAATGCCAGGGATGAGGTTAACAGGGAGGGGCACAAAGAAATCACTTTTCTTTCTATTCTCATTTAAAATGTCTACGCTTTTAATAAATAATTATCTGAATCTTACAACAAACGATTGATAGATTGATCATATATACCATCAGAGACAGTGAACATCACTGTCACAACAGCGTTTATTTTCATTCAAAGGCTTTATGATTTTTCCTATAATGGTGGGCCGCTCAGATGCCGGACGATTTCGCCTCGCCTGTATGCAGCTCATCTGCAGTCTGGTGTTCCTACATCTTCCTATTCAGAAGGCAGAATTTCCAGAGTTCTGAGTACAATCGAAAGCACCACGACTGCAGTTTTTGTGTTGGATGTAAAAGGCGCACATGACGCTGTGACGTAGGCTAGAATCATGGCAGCAGTCAATGAGGTCCAGGCGTGGGATTTCTCTCGTGGAAATGTGCACATTATCTTTTCCTTTCTATTGGTAGGTGGCACAGTGCACTGTGGCAAGTAAGCAAGCTAGAAGACTGGCAGTCTGGCTGGTATCTTTTTTTTTTTGTGCAGATGTCTTTAATGCACAACTGTGAAAAAGAGCTAACAAAAGTTATGTGAAATTGCACAATTCCATAAATTCATTCCAGTTTTGTTTCTATGAATAACACAAATATCATTGTGAACCGGGATTGTAGTCCCAGAAATAGGAAAAATAATCCAGAACAAATAATTAATTCATCTTTTTCTGATTTCTTAAGCAGAAATGGTGAAACAGCATAAAAGGCACTTTGACGCTCACCCAGCGTCTTTGTTGAAAGTAATAAATAGATTTAGCGTGGTGGTTGTTGGGCAGTCTTGCTGACAGGTATGCAGACAGACACTGAACACAAACTGAAAATCTGAGATCTGTAGACTCATTTGCTAAATCCTCTGCTAATATTTTAGGTAATTTTTGTTTTTTTTCATAGACTAAATGATTTGTTGATTAATTAAAAATAAACAGTATTTAGTAATTAACAGAGGTGAACATAAATATGTAGCCTGGTAGAGCTGGGCGATATAAGATTTTTTCATATCACGATATGTTTTTTTCATTTCAGGCGATAACGATATCTATCACGATATAAGCCAAATAACTATATTTGTAAGATTTAAATGTGCCGTTGCTCACAAGTAAAATGTGAAATAATCAGCAGCTTGTTTTTATTTAAATATTTATTTCCCATAATAAGTTCAACAGGGTAGATGTACTTAAGGAACATGAGACTTTTTCAGATAAATAAAGGCAAATATTGCAAACTACACAAAAGGCAGCCGCTAAAGCGTTTAAGTTTCAAAATAGAACAAACAAA